TCTCGCCTCTCACTATTCGCCAACCTTAATTCTTTCCTTGCTCAAATTGGTATCCACCCTTCTCTGGCAAAGTCCCAACCGATAATAAACTCTATTGGAAATATTCTGTAACATCTCTAAACTAATATCATTTGACGCTTCAACAATTCTGTGTTTCAGTTCCTCGATATCGTTGGGTTTGGTTTCAAAAACTTTACTTTTCAAGTATCCCCAGTAAAAGAAATCAAGAGGCGACAAATCGGGTGATCTTGGTGGCCACTCAATGGTAACTCTTCTACCAATCCACCTGTCAGGGAAAACGTTGTTCAGTACATTGCGTACAATTAGGACAAAATGAACTTGAGCTCCGTCTTGTTGAAACCAAACATTCTCGAATGCATCCCCAACGATAGCTTGTATTGCAGGTATTATGTTGTCGTTCAACAAATTTACGTACTTTTCAGATGTCAAATTGCCATCAATGAAGAATGGCCCGATGATACGATTACACAATATTCCAGCCCAAACGTTAACTTTTTCCGGATACTGTGTACGATGCTCCCTCATCCAGTGGGGATTCTCATCGGTCCAATACCTCATGTTATGCCGATTGCCAGATCCGCTCAACTCAAAGGTTGCTTCATCCGAAAAACACGTCCAAAACAGAAATTGATTATTTCTGTCGAATTGTAGCATCATTTCCTCGCAGTATTCAAGTCTACGATCATGATCGTCTCCGATAAGTTCTTTCACTAGTTTTATTTTGTACGGATGATACCGATGCGACTTCAAAATCTGAAGGACAGATGTTTTACTAATTTCGGTTTGTTGAGCTACTTTTCGACTCGACGTATAAGGATTTTCTTGAAAATTCAATATAACTTCTAAAGATTTTTGTTCGTTTGTGGCAGTTTTAGGTCTTCCAGATCGTGGTTCATCCTTGACTGACCCAGTTCTTTCGAATCGATTACAGGTTCGATATGCAGTAGATTTTGAAATAGGTGCACGATTCCGGAATGTATCGTTGAATAAATTAACAACGTCACCGTATGATCTTTCTCTATCACCAAATCCCCGCATCATGAGAATTGTTATTCTTTCCCTCTCTGACAATGCCATTGTTGACAGTATAATGATGTAAAGAATTTTCTAAACTTTAGCAGTCCTATTAATACTCTAATAAAGTCTGCAAATAGACTTTAAATTGTAATAGAAATCCCTAAAATATTCCAAGATGAATAAGGTCCCAGCAAGCACAGTAATGTAACATATATGTATAAAATACATAATAGCAAGTATCACGAGGTAACGAGTTATGTAACAAGTAACATACATGTATGTTACCTGTACTACAGAATGTCAGCAACAAAAGTATGTCTCTGATATATTTAATATATGTAACAGAATACTTTAAATGTTATATTTATGTTATGTAATCTTGCTAATCCCAGGCAGCAACGTCACATGATTTTCACGTTAATTTTTGGTCAGTCGTAACGTCATTTATCCTTTTATGAGTACGTAATAATAACGTAAAAATTACGGGAATAAGTCACAGCCCACAGACGTCATAACGAAACGTGAAAATGACGTGTTATTATAACGTTTTGCTTCCTCATAGAGGAAGCTTTGTTTTCGTGAAAAAATTTTTTTTCCAGTTTTCTTTGAAAACATGTTTAGAATGTTCCAAAACGTCAAAAAAACACATTCAGAAAAAATGTCTGTATGTATGTATGTATGTGTGTATGTGTGTATGTCTGTATGTATCCTTATAAGGTAACTCTAAATAACTTTTAAAATATTTAAGATGGAGAAAAATGTTTAGCATGAAAGTTGTACGGTTTCAAGCAATGCATTACG